CTGCCGGCGTCCTCAGAGGCGCTCCCCGGGGAGCAAAGCCGCGGAGGACCCAGGCGGCGGGACCGCGAAGCATCTTGGGCTCTGCTCCCCGTGTCCCTGGTCTGCTGGGGAGGGGGGGGCACAGCTAGTGTGCTCCCCCCCCCAGCAGACCAGGCTTTTGTTTTGGACTCTGGGGCAGAGCAGCTGGGGCGCTGCCGATTGGTCCTGCAGCGCCCGCTCTGGGCACTACTGGAGCAACCCAGCAGCACCCCAGCTGCTCTGCCCCAGGCGTCCCCAAGTCAGCTTCTGCTGAAACTGACCAGCGCTGACTACAGGAAGCCCCAGGCAGAGTTGCTCTGCCCCGGGCTTCCTGGAATCAGCTGCTGATCAGTTTCAGCAGCAGCTGACTTGGGGACGCCTGGGGTTCTTAAGTTGATTATGTATGTAAGTCAGAACTGGCGGTCAGTTTCAGCAGTGTCTGAATCTGGACGCCAGTTCCGACTTACATACAGATTCAACTTAAGAACAAACCTACAGTCCCTATCTTGTACGTAACCCGGGGACTGCCTGTATAACTCTTAATTTTAAAGAGTCATGCATATCTACTAACAGGCTTGAGAAATTTCCATGTTTTTTTATGGAATGTGCTTTCCTCATGAGGAGGGGAGGGCTAGTTGTCTGTCACTTAATTTTTTTTTTCCTTGTCTGAATTTGTTGATTGGTTTCATATTAAATGTGTACTAGTCTTAATATTTTTTGTGTTCACGAGGTGTAAATGGCAATGTGTAAATCATTTTGAATGCTAGTGATCTTGTAATAGAGACCACACTTGTGTTTTCAGTTAGATTTTTTTCTTTTTTATTTGTACTATTTTTATTTTTGAATATTGGGAATCTCAGGCTACTAATCAATCAGACCTCACAGCTTGATTAAAAAAAGTTTGCTTAATTTTTTAACGATAGCAAACTGTTTTGAGAGAGTACTCTAAAGCACTGGTCTAAAATATAATTATTTTAACATCATGAGACTTTTGCTTCTGTTTAGTAAACATCTCTAAGATTTGTATTAGGTTTAAGGGAAACTTTTAATAAGTGTTATGCACTTTTGTCTTTATTACCACATAATCCCAATTCATATAAATTGGTGAATATATTTAATTATATTCCTTGTATTTTTTTCTAAATATAACTAAAGAGATTAAAACTTAATGATCTTTGTGCTTTTTTTTAGTAGACAGGAATGTTAAAATGATGATAGGTTGACCATGAAAACTATGTTTGTTTTCAGAGAGAACAGGAAATGAGAATGGGTGATATGGGTCCTCGTGGAGCAATAAACATGGGAGGTAGGGATCTGAAGCAAATAGGCTTCTGTAATATAAGACTACAATTCTTTGGGACTGTACATGTTACTCATTGGTACTCTACATTAGTGACATGAGCTAATGGTAAGGAATAAAACGTTTGAATGATAGGTAATATAAAATCGCATCTGTTTTGTTTCTGAATAATTAATTTTTTTCAGTATCTTCTTTACTGTATTTGGACTATTAATTTTGTCTTTGGGGGGAGAAAAATTTGGATATTTACAGCATATGTAAACTGGTATAGGCAGTAAAGTTTGTTGGAAAACATGAAACAGTTTCTGCTGTTTATAATAAGTCTTGTGGAAAAAAGTGTCTGAATACAAAAGTTAAATATCTATATTTAGTTAAACAGATTTAGAATAGTTCCATTCATTCTTAGTTTTATTAGATACCTTCTTGGTGGTATGTTTCTTGACAAGTTAAATACTTGTTAGGGTCTAAACTAATAATTTTATCTCAGGTAAAAGCTGCAGATTGTCTTTGATGCTGTCATTGTTACAAACCTAATTTTATTAATTGAATGTTCAAGAATAAACTGTTTTGTATTTGAATCATGGGTGAGCACCACTTATGTTTTATGATGAATCAGTCAACATGAAAAGTGTTCATTTAGACTAAGCCAGAAACACTACAATTCAAATAGTATCTCTCTTGCAGAAACAATTGTTAAAATATATTAATCATAAATATATATTTTCAGTGAACCTCATAATCTTTTATTAAAACAGATGCTGAAATAAACATGAATAGTATTAAAGAATAAAACTGATATTCTTTTAAACTTTTAAGTATGAACTGTATATCATTAATCTTACGGCTTTAATACCATTTGACTTTTGGTAAAGAAATATTTTTTTTCATTTTCAAAATATGCTGTATTTTACATCTTTTATATTTTGCCTTTCAAAATTATAACAGGCTTAAGAAATTACATTTGAAAAATAAATTTTAAATTTATAGGTTTTACATTAATAGCCAATGATCATGGTATGATCGAATCCAAATTTTCAATATGTAAATGACAGTAGGCACTTATATAAATGGAAACAAAGATTTACAACTTTAAAGGCATACATTTTAAAGGCAAATTAGGCTGTCATTCAATAAACTAGAAAGAAATTTAAGAAAGACAGTTCAGAAAAAATGAGCTAAAATGTAATGTATCTAAAAAACCATTAATCTTGGATCCAGTAGACAAAATGTTGAATATATAATTACATTTTAAAAGGGATTCTGCTTGTGCTTATTAAACTGAATATTCTTCAGCTTTTTATATAAGAGCCATGTTAATTAAAAGTGGTTAATTTTTTAATATTGTACAAAACATTTAATTGGCAAATCCAGGGTATGCATTATTGGGTACTAGTGTGATCCTAATTATAAACATAGCCATAAATATATTTTGAACACTTCAGAGCCCTTATTCTTTTTTGTCATAGCTGAAACTTATAATGATTTATATTGCCTTACATTGCATCCCTCTTTGAAGAACTTACATGCCACTCATTTAAATAGACATTTTAAAACATTTTAAATAATGCCGAGACTGTTATGTGAGGAGGTTTTTGTGCTACCTTGAAGTCTTGTTGACATGGATAAACAGAACTTCCCATGGTGTAGCTCATACACTCCCACAGGTGTGTGCTCATGTAAAAAAAGCATAGTCTGTTTTCTTATTAGTGCTGCAGTAGTGATGCTCTGTGCTGAAACCATAATCCTAGTTGTATGTGCACCTATTGAGTTAGGTGTAATACCAGCACTGAGCACTGCCATCAAATAGGCAATGTGCTGCTGCTGTCCTAAGGTTCATGTGTGCCTGATATGACTCTAGCAGTAATATTTTAATTTTATTTTATTTTAAATCTGCTACTCTGGAATAGCAAGAGTTAGAGGATACATGGTATGCTCACAATGATGGATACTGAGAGCAGACTATTCTCATGGACAGAGATGTCTGCCTCCCTCCATTCCATGAACTAATCATACCCATGGACGAGTGAGAAGCTCCTTACACCCTTGGTTATTCCCCACTGTCTGTTGCAGCTTCAGGGAGACATCTGCCAAATTCATGTGGAGTAACAACCTTTCAGAATAGGAATGAGTTCAAACTTTCTTTAATTAAAGACTAGTTCCTCTCCACTAGGGATGTAAGCGTATAACTGGTTAACTGATATTAGTTAAACTCTTAGCAGCTTCTGGGAGCCTGCGGAGCATTTAACTATGTAATGGATTTAATTAGTGGTTAGTGGTTTATGATTTGTTTCTTTTTTTAATTTTTAACATCCCATATCTCCTATTCTCAGTCTTCTAAACAAAGTCCTGTAGCACTTATCCCTGCTACCACAGATCGTTTGCAAAACTTTTCCCTCCAGTGGAACTAATATCAAGACACAGAATGAGTCTGATTTTAGCACTCATCTAGTGTCAGAATCATGCACATACATATTTGGGGCAATAATTACTAGTTGATAACTGTGATAATGAGCACTCAGTGCTAATAGTGTCTTCTAAATATGTGTAACAGAAGCAGTATGATGATGGTTCTGAATGACTTTTTTAGAGTTATGCATTTATTATTATTTCTTCCTAACATGAAAGATAATAATCTAAAGGAGTATAGAAAGAACTTCACTAAGTATTTTAGTCCATCAAACATGTTTGATCCTTGGATTGTATTCACATATTATAGTGATGGACATGGTATATAAAACGCTGAATAGATTAAGCTTAGTATATTTTCTTCTATTTTGTTTATTGTTAAAGAAAATGGATACATATCCTTGATTGAACAGGATGCATTATCCATCTGAATAAACACTCTTCTATTCCCATTCTGATATCTTACATCTCAGTAATCTAATTTACATAGCCAAGTTTTTCTTGCTTATAATGCAATCTTGCAAATGTATAGAGTTAGTCTTTTTCTGCTGATTAATTTAATTGGTACTGAAAAATAAATAATCCATGGTAGCTGAATTTTTATTATAATCTTTTGGTCCACCTCAAATTGCTGTTTATTTCATTTTTGCTTCCACTTTCTTGCCTCTTACTGTTTCAACAAAAGTTTGAATGGTTTAGTATTAAATATTCCATTTGTTTTGTTGTATCTTCTTTTCAGAATCAGTGTTTGTAATAATAGCTATAAATCTCTTAAGAAACAATTGCAAACTTTCCACAATTCAGTACTTCTGTAACAGACCACATTTTAAAAAGAATTAGAAAATTTTGGTTTTCACTATTGCAGTTGGCTGGTAATATGGAGTAAAGTAGGATGTTGCCTTCTCTGATATAAGGTACTTGAAACATGTATGGACAAATTATTAAAAATTTGGTCAGTTGCAAATTGATTTTTCTTATAATTATATATATGCTTTACTCACAAAATATGAATATATTTATTAAACTTTTGTGCAACACCAGAAATATATTTAGTTGCATACCTTGAGGTTCTCAAAGCAAGAATTTTGTTGTTGTTCAGAAAGCAAGTTGTAGGTTAAACAAGGTTAAACATTTGAGTAACAACTTTAAAATTAAGATGAGTTCAAAAGTAAATTGAGATAAATGTACAGTCTCAAAGAATAAAAACAACTTTTATATTTCAAGTAATAGAAGTTTTGTATAGTTGGTTTCTTAAATATTACAAATTGTTTGTTGCTCTTGTAAAATTCAGATAGGACAGCTCTAAGTATAGATTGTTTTGAATAGATGCGTTTAGCCCAGCACCTGCTGGTAACCAAGGTCCTCCTCCAATGATGGGTATGAATATGAACAACAGAGGAACTTTACCTGGCCCTGCATTGGGTCCTGGTCCTTCCATGGGGCCAGAAGGAGCTGCAAATATGGGAACACCAATGATGCCAGATAATGGAGCGGTGGTAATGTATCATTATAAAACTTAATTACTTTGAAAAGTTGTCGTGTCTCATGACAATTTTTTTTGTACCAAAGTTAACTTCACACTAAAGTGACTTTGTAATATTACATATTTTTAATCCAGTGACAATACTTATCTGAACACATTTTAGAACTTTTTTAAAAAAAATGTTTTGAGTCAAAAGCACCTAACAGGTAAATCTTTTATATTCTTAAATTACATAATTTTGCAGAATGAGAACCCTTTTTCACGTTAAAATCTGTTCAGGATGTAAACTAGGAATACTGAAAATCCAGAGTTATTTTTTTCCCTGGAACACATGATTATCTTCAGATGGAAATGTAGCAATCAGTGGACCTTTTTTCTAAGACGTTGTCAGGTCCTTACTTTAAATGAATTTTAGATTAAAATTATCACATTTAGTAGAACTGTGTATGTAAAATCTATCATGTAAAATACATTTCATCTAGCAAAATATTGAATTTTCTTTTAGTGTATCCTGCATGTGTTAAATATACTTAAATCACTGTCTGTTACCTGTTCTTTATGAAACTAAGATATATTTTTTGATTTTACTGTTATGAAGTTTATTTTTAAATAACTCCCAATATAGTTGTGATTAAAGGTGTATATGGTGTGAAGATATCTTTGTGTAAAATACTTTTAAAGTGATTTTAGTGTAAAAAACATATTATTACCAGGACACTGCCTTAAACACAGCTAAGTGTTTATGGCAGTAATTACAGTGCTTATTGTGGAATAGTTATATCAGCAAAAATTATGTGGGATAATTGCTGCTCCAGGTTAGGAAAAGTCCTTTTGTCTAGTAGGTCAGGGTAACCAGAAACCTGGTCTGGACAGTTGAAATTTACTTACTGAACAATCGAGTCCTGGCCTGCACTTATAATGAATGGTTATCTTGGCTGTTCCCATCAACCCATGTACCCTCTTTTCCTGTTATTATCTTTTGGAGACAAACAGCAATCTGTTTTAAATAGCTTTTTCTAATAATACATATTTCCTGTGTTTCTAGATGAATGCATGTGTAAGGGGATGTTCTGGTGATGATATATGAAAAGCAGAATATACAATTTACAGTTTTCCATCATAGCTTTGCTGGGGCACTGAAACACGTTAGAAATAATTTAATTTAGTAATCATGTAACTGTAACAATTCTTAGTGGTTACACAATTACTCAGTGGCACCTGGGGGTTTGGCTGGCAGCTAGTGCACTCTTTGCCCCACTCCCAGGGAGCCCTCTGCTACCTCTGTCAGAGGCAGCAGTGTGGGGTGGCAGGCAGAAGTTAAAAAATTGGCTCCCTGTGCAGATGATTTAAAAATTGGCTCCCTGTGCAGTCCTGCTGTCCCTGTCTGCAGAGGGCCCTGAGCCCAGCTTGCCATAAACAGAGACTGCTCAACAGCAGCAGCCCCTGTCCATGGGGGGTCCCGAGCTCCCCATGGATAGAGGCTGTTTCGGCATCCTGCGGAGAAGCCTTTTTCAATGGCGAGCCTGGGTCCACCACAGACAGAGTCTGCTCCGTGGAATGCCAGAGGCTCCCCTGGGCACTCTTAATGTAAAACTCAGACCAGCGGGTTGGGACTGAGCCAGCCTGCCAGTCCGAGTTTTAAATGCCAGAGTATACAGGAGTGAGGGGGTGCTGTTGCAGTTAACCAGGACTTAGCTTATTAGTTAAACGGTTATCCAGCTAACTGCTAGCACCCTTCCTACACATAACTGAGTGTCTTTTTTCTTACTCTATCGGCTTCCTCAAAAGAAAATTAACTTAAGGAAACAATATCTCAGTGTCTCAACTGCTGATTTGGAGAGGTAGATGCAGACAAGAATACATTGCCCACCTAGAATACCTGGCTCACATTTTTGGCTTAATGCGTAGTGTGTACAGAACCTAACTTTTTCTAGTGAGACTGGAGAATTCCTTTCACCCTCAGGTCTTTTTACTATGAGTGTTCACAAGAGCCAGCCTCAATCAGAATTAACTTTTCTGTGGGCCCCAGGTTATTAGATTTTGTGTGGCCCCTCTTGACTTCTGGCTGATATACCACTGGTGACTCCTGGCTGGCAGCACAGCGGGGCTCAGGCAGGCTACCTATATGCCGTGACCCTATGTTGCTCCCAGAATTGGCTGGCTACTGGCACTTATCTCTCTGCACCTGAGAGAAAGGGGACAGAGTGTTTCAGTATGCATTACATGAAACCACCACCCCCTTCCTTCCACAGAGTCATGCCAGCAGCCATCCACTTCTGGGAGCACTCTGTGACCATGGCATGCAAACAGCCTCCTTGAGCCTTGCTGCGCTGCTAGACTTGTAGGCTACATCGACACTGGCCCCAAATTCCGGAAAAGGCATGCAAAGCAGGTAAGTCAGAATAGGGAAATCCGCGGGGGATTTAAATATCCCCCGCGGATTTAAATAACCATGTCCGCCGCTTTTTTTCCGGCTTGGGGAAAAGCCGAAAAAAAGCGTCTAGACTGGCGCGATCCTCCGGAATAAAGCCCTTTTCCGGAGGATCTCTTATTCCTACTTTCAAGGAAGGAATAAGAGATCCTCCAGAAAAGGGCTTTATTCCGGAGGATCGCGCCAGTCTAGACGCTTTTTTTCGGCTTTTCCCCAAGCCGGAAAAAAAGCGGCGGACATGTTTATTTAAATCCGCGGGGGATATTTAAATCCCCCGCGGATTTCCCTATTCTGACTTACCTGCTTTGCATGCCTTTTCCGGAATTTGGGGCCAGTGTAGACGTAGACGTAGTGTCGCAGAGAATCCAAGATCAACTAGTCTATCTCAATTGATGGGTTGGTTACCACTGAATAGATTTATTTTTGTGGGGTTCCCCCTTAGTCCAGGGCTCTGGATTGCAGCCTCAAAAGCCCCTGCATTAATCTGCCTTTGATGCATTTGTCAAAGCTTTCGCTTCACTGCTCAGTGGAGTCAGGTTTTCCAAACTGGTTTCTAAAAGACGAGAGCAAAGGAAAAAAACTGTGTTAACTAATTATTGCAGTGATCCATCAAAAATGTTAAAAATGGAAAACTCCTTATTCTGCTTGCTCAGTTCACCTGGAACACTCCTTTAGGGGTGTAAGATAAGAAATTTAAGGCAGGTATCCGGGGAAAAAACAAGATTTTATAGTGTATTTAAAAATAACACCCAGACTGTTGTTTTTCTACAAATGGTAATTTCAAATACTGATATTTCAGAACTGTTGAATTTAATGACACATCAGTCTGACAAGCTTAAAGTTGTAAATTAAAACTGCTGACATTTAGAAGGAAATGGAAGTTCAAAGAGCAGATTAAGTGGATGATTTGCTTATCTGGCCCTCTAATTTTAATAATACCTTTTTTGTTTCTGCTCAGACACTTGCTTTTTGTTACATGGTAAAAAGAATGTATCTGGCTAACCCTTGTGTTCTCCTCAGAGTGTTGTTATATAGGGTATTTGCTATTTGGTGGTAGTAAAAAAAAAAAAAAAGAGAGAATGGGGGATGGAGGGAGAGGAATCCAGTTTTCTTTTTTAAACTTCACATATATTCAGTGTTGGCAGATTTCCCTTGATTAGAAATAAGTTTTTATCTAAAGAAAATTTTATGTTGTTTTAATTATTTATACAAGTATTTAATTTTATCTCCCGAAAACTGCCTAAAAGGGAAAAAAGGAGTGCTTCAGCTTTAAGAATTAGGAGCTAGATTTTCAGATGTGCTCAATTAGCACCCAAAAGTTGGCCTCTTCATTTAGGTGTCTAAAAGAGCTGAGCTGTTCTGGAAAGTCTGACCTAATATGTAATCGTAGCTATTATATCCACATCAAATTTAGATAAAATTAGTTAAAAGTGATTAGAGTCCTTATTTTGCAAATGCTTATGTTTCTTTTTAAATGAGAGTACTTAAAAGTGTAAGTATTTGCAGAATTAGAGCCTAATAGAAGACTTTTAAAGGAGGGATATGGTACCCACCTATATTTATATTCGTTTATATTTAACTTTTAGTATGTGCTGGGAGCTAAATACAGTATGTGGTCTAGAACACTAATTGATTTTTATTTCATTTAAATCTGTCTGAAAAAAATTTAGATGTGTATTATTTTCTGATGGAAGAAACTTTGTTCCTTGAGTCAGTAGTCTTTGGAAACACTGAAGCTACAACTCAATCTCTTTTTTCTACTTTGACAGTGCTTCCGTTTCTGAACAAGCTAGTGAATACAGGAGCATTGAAATATGGGAAGATTCACATAAAATATTTGCTCCCTATTTTTAAATAGGCTAAATAATAAGTATACTGTTATATGGAGAATAAATATGGCTTTGTGGAGTGGCAAGTTTTAGAGTATAAATTTAACTTACATACTGTATAGAAGTGGTTTTCGGCGGGACTCTACTCTTTAGTATTTATTTATTTAATGTACTGTTGTCTTAATTTTACAAAATTGGAGCATAGCATTTAATAAGCTTTTATTTTTACTCTTTTTGAAAAATAACTAATGTAATTGCTCATTTCTTCCTTCTATGTATGATCCTGATTCTGCTGGACTCTCTGCCGAACTTCATGACACCACCACTTGGGGTTTTGCCATTTTTATTATAACTTACATTTGGCTTTTTCCAAATGGACTTAATATTCATTGTACATTGTTAGCATAATGAGAGATTCCCTCAAGGAGGCCCATCACAGATGGGTTCACCCATGGTTAGTAGAACAGGCTCCGAAACTCCTCAGCCGCCAATGAGTGGTGTAGCTGCCGTGAGTGGTGGACCTGGTGGCTTTGGTAGAGGAAATCCAGGGGGCAACTTTGAAGGACCTAACAAACGTCGCAGATATTAAAACTTTTTCATTCCTTATTGTTTAGAAAATTCAGTGCAAATATCCAGTGGTATGCCTTTATAATTTTTAGCTGTTATCTGGAAAGCAGTTTTACTGTTAATGTAGTCTTTAAAACAATTTCTTTTGTAATTCCTAAACTTTTTTGTATTCCATCTTAGGCTTTGTAGTGTAGAACAGAAATGATGTGCATCATTATGTAAGTCAAATGTGTTTGTGACTTCGGCAAAATATCAATGTGTGACCATGCTGTAAAACTTGTGCAGTTATTTGATCACAATAAAATATAAAACAAATTACTTAAGGATTTTGGAAATGTTATTACAATACTGATGAGGAATTTTAAGTTTAACTTGTAAACAGCTTCATTTTCTTTCATCTAATTACTTAGGAATTACCACATTAAGTGTGAAGAAAATTCTATACTTAATTAGCTAAAAATGTGTGCAAATAGACCTGCAAGTTTTAGTAATTGTCATGATACTTGTTATAACAAGTGATTGAAGCTAATGCAACTTTTGAATGGTATCCCAGAGCTCTTAATGATCTGTAAACACACTGTTAACTATTTCTAACCTTCTTGTATGAACTTAGTCATAATAGGATTGTCCACAAAATATGTTTTGTGTTGAATTTTTTCAAATAAATATTTTGAACCTTGGAAAATAACTTCTGTCGGAAGGTAAATCTTCACCTGTGCTTATTTATTCATTAAACACAAGAAACGGTATTAAGGATACTTTACACAAAATAAGGTTTTATCAAAATTAAATTGTCATTTCTGTGCATTTGTGAAATATGGTGAACATTAGTGAATAGTGTTAACATATCCTGTCATAACAGATACTGGTGCATTATTTACATCTGGCTTATGTAAGGCTTTGTCCTAGGTTATACACTGGACAAATGTGTTTCCCCTTCTGGCAGCTGGTCCACATAGTAAATAAGAATCTTCTGCTAATTGCTTGTGAGAAGACTCTATCAATGACTTTCCCCATGTTTATTTCAGCTGGGGGGAAATCACCTTTGTTTAATTTTATTATTGCAGTTACTAGTATTTGCCTACGGTGGAGTATCTAGTATTTTTATTTAGACATAACTGAATATTAATATCAGTTATTCTAGATTTTAAAATGAAAAATACAGTTCCACCATTCAGTTAAATTTATTCTGGATAAAATGAATGAAGTGTAAGAATTAAAATCCACACTTCCAGCACAAGTATCCAAGAGAGGATTGTTGGTGCTAAGTAATGCCAGAAATATGGAGAGAGTCTGCTATAATAAACAACTTCTGTAAATGATTGAGAAGAGATGAAACAATCTGTTAGATTATCTATTCCTTTGTAAAGTCAAGTGAGTCTAAATTTTGGCTGCCTTGCACTGCTTTGTCATGTTCTCCATGCAATGTAGGTATAACCTGCTACCATTTTAATTTGGGATCTTTTGCACTTACTTTGCACAGGTATAACCTGTTTCATGAGGGTTTATCTACATACACGTTGCACTGGTTTACAGGTGTGGTTTTATATAGATGAAATTAAACACTTTTTATTGAACATATCTTTTAGATAAATCAGCACTGGGCTAAGGGTATGAAACTGCTAATACTCAGACCCAAAGTCAGTGTGTGATGTTAGACTTGATATAGAAGTAAAATTAAACCATAAAATTAGTAGTAACACGGGGTATTAAAAATACTTTTATGCATACCATATTACTAAGTTGCTTAAGGGAGATATGCACTGCCACAAACATGGTATAAAAATCAAGAATATTGCTTAGCAAATTTACAGCTATGTTGTTTGTAACAACAACTATAGCTAAATCCATTGGCAACATCTTTTCTCTTAGGCTAGGGCTTTATTTTTATCTAACAGCACAAATTTGATTCAGTTTCTTACAATTTGCTATGGAATATGATTAGTTTGGTTAAAAGTTTGGTGTATTTTTGTTGCGTGCTACAAATTGCAAAAAAAAAAAAAAAAAATCTTAAAAGTAAGCTGCACCCAACCTACTGAGCATATTATTCTTAAAGTTAACATGGTGAGAAATGTTACTGCTAGTCCTGTATTAAGTTTTTCTAGTGGGCATTCTATTCATGATGGAAAATGACATTTGTAACATTACTAGTGGGGGGGAAGGGGAAGAGACCAGTGTTGTAGATTAACTTTATCCCATCTTTTCAGGCTGCATTAATTGAAGATGGCACATTTTGCTTAAAGATTAAGAAATATATTATTTTTACATTTTATATGGCCAATGATTAATATTTCCAGTGTGTGCTTATATTTATAATCGGAATGAGAGGCATAATGAGATCTTCGTCAATTGATAAAAGTACCCTTGAATCTTTTTCAGTAGGGAGTTTCATTCTGAACATATTGGCAAAATCCTTATTATTATTCAGACTATTGTATGGCCCTCATAACAGTACTATTTGAACATTTTCCAGAAGTTCATTAAGCCATTTAACAAGGAACTGTCATGTGGTCCTTTCTTTTTTTCCCTCTGTCACAAGGAAACTATTGTGTGGTTTTTTTCATATATGTGCTGTTACACTTTTTGCACTGTCTTTATTAGTAAAAAGTTAGGTCAACTAAGTGCACCTTGCATTTAGAAATGAGTTTTATGATACGTATTAATTCCTGTGGGAGTTAGCTCCAGGGTCTTGAACTGGTCCACCTGAAAAAGTCTTCACAATCATGCAGTGGATAGTCCTGTGATGCATGCAGAGTAGTGCTGTTGTCTGCTGTAGGTGTGCCTGAGCAATAGTGATTTTAAGTAAATTGGTTCAAAACCATTGACTGCCTTAAAATCACATAGATCCTGAATTTGGCACATTAGAATCCATAATGGCATAAGAATCCATTTTAAAGACTACAAGACAGTTTTGAAGTGTGTGTGGTACCTGGGTTGTTGACATTCTATGCCAGCCGAAATGATCTGAATGCTGACTGCTTCATGCCCAGGTAACATTCTGTAGGCCTTCGGGAAGACGATAAAAGCAGGTCTTAACTAAGGTTAGATGTAAAATGGGGTTCTATTTATTTAAAATGGTAAGTAGAGATGACTAAGGCTTCTGGCGTGTTGACTGCTGCCTGTTGTTACTCTCATTATCATCTCATTATTTCCTTTTACTCCCCTGTCTGTATGTCTATAATCTTTTGTTTTATACTTAGATTATAAGCTTTTTGGGACAGGGACTGTCGTTTTGTTCTTTGATTTTGCAACACAACGGGGTCTTGCTTAGGGATGTGAAGGACTAGTCGACAGAAAGAGGCAGTGGGAATGGACAAATGGGGGGGAAATGAGAAGGAGGTACTTCAAAGTGGCAACGCCGTTTGAAGTCTGGGGCCAGACCCCCAGCTCCATGTGGTGGTGCTGCTGCTTTGAAACACCATGTGCAGCCCAGGAGGCTTGTGGAGCCTGGGATCACCTGGGGACTCCCCAGCTGACTCCGGGCTCCCTGTGGCGCTGCCGTTTTGAAACACTGTGGGGAGCCCGGCATCAGGTTCCTTGTGGTGTTTGAAAGCAGCAGCGCTGTGTGGAACCTGGGATCAGTCACCAGCTGACCCTGAGCTCCACGGGGCTCTTTTGCCTTTGAAGTGTAGCAAAAACTACACTTCAAAGGCAGAGCCTCCCTATCAACCAATCGAATAGTCAATGCAAAATGCATTGACTATTTGATTACTCAGTCGATGCTTAACATCCTTAGTCCTGCTTCATGATTGACTCGTAGGCTATACAGCAATATAAGCAATAAGTAGTAGTTACATATATTTTTATCCTGCAAAGGAAATGAGAATTGATTAAATCCACATAATAGCTGTCTATGTAATGCCCTTGAGTTATACACGAAGAATCAGAAAGATGTTCCTGAAATTGTTGCAAAGTTTTTGCAACACAATTTACCATCTTGTGGAGTCCTCTAGAGATTCCATTTAAACAAATCACAGAACTTGGGAGAGACTGCCATATTACCATACTTTTCATTTTGATAGAATACAACAAACTTAAGAATTTTTGCATTATGGAGGCACTGAAAGCTATTCTTGTACTGTTGTGCTGAAAACATAAAAAACAACAAATAGTCTGGTAGCACTTTATAAACTAACTCGGCTACCCCCTGAAGGTGCTGAAAACTGTTAGTAATAGTTAAATTGCTGCTTTGGAAGAAAAGGAAAGATAGCATCCATACAGAAGAGGACACAGTGTACATATGTGCAGGATTTGAAAGAAATATGTCTGTTCTTACTGTAGCACAATAGTTTATTCAGTTTCCTCTCACTGTTACATGCATTGGTGAATGACAGTGTGTGGTATACATATGCCACATTTGAGTCTCAGTTACTTTGGTTTAAGAAGGACTGTCCAGTGTGCATATTGCTTTTTTGAATTTTACTTTCAAGTTCATTACTGTTTAGTGCCAACCTGTTCAGCTTTCTGGTTCTTGCACAGGAAATATTTTTTTTTATTCAGATCCACTAAACTGGATTTCTTTAAATAAATAAATAATAATTACAAGAACATCCTGAAGACCTGCCCAGATTAGTATAAGTCCCTGATCGTATCATGCTAGTTTTTTTGGCTACATGTCTTTCAAACAGAAGAGATCCAGTCAGACATAAAGATGCAGTAAAAGTTTAAATGAAATTTTGTAAAATGGAAGACTTTTTTTCTTTAATTTACAAGTTTTATATTGTATGAAGGACATATCCATTTGAATATAATACAAGCGTTGTAATAAGAATAAATAATCTGAACAGGACTTCAAAATATTAAATGTTACATTACTTAGTCCACTAATATAATTACTTCTCATAACATATACTCCTTTGTTTCAGGCCTACTCTGAGACATTTTCGCTCTACTTTACTGTTGTCCCTTACCTAATTTCATTTTTATTTCTTAATCATCTTTTTGGCTTGTAAAAATAGGATCATTTTAATTGGCCTTTCAGTTGATTTCAAATTACAGATTTTTGTCAATTATTTTCTGAAATAATTCTTGTATTCTAATTGAACATAACCTCGTTCTGTAAGAGATAGAGTTGTAAGTTTGTATGATAGAAAGTATGAAGTCCATTGTTAGAATGTGCTCCACATTTGCAAAAATAATGCATTTATTTAGAAGAGATGTGCTCATTGACTCCTGCTGTGTAATGTAAGAGCTAAGTTAAGATGTAATATTACTGTTATTTGCCTGTAATGGGGAATGGGAAAATTTTATGCAGGTTGTAGGAAAGCAACTTTTTTATGCAACTGTAATCTGTTATGCATAATCTACTAGTTTCTACAACAAGATGATTGAAAATTTCTTTGAAATATAGTTTTCAAATTTTCAACATGGTGAAGTAGGTTTCTGAGTTGAAGTGAAATAAAATAACTTGTATTTTTTTTCTAGGCTGTTAACTGCTATGCTACCTTTATAGCATATGTCTCTTCAAAAGACTTCATTATGTAGGTTATTTTTTTTATCGCTAAAGTCCATTTTAAAATATATATTCAAGTATAGCAGTAAGAGAATTGTAGAAAGAAACATGCAATATTATTTAATTTTGTCTATAACTTGTAATGAATGTTTAATTTTTATTCCAGAGACTCAAATAATAGTTTTTTGTTCTTTTATGGATTATTTTAATAACAGTCAATGTTTTACCAATGCGTT